GACCTGTGCCTGGAGTATCAGGTGTACGACCTGCAGCTGTGGAACAGTCTGCTTCAGAAGCTGCTGGGCTTGAACTTGGTGAGAGGACGCGCACCAGAAAAATATTTGTATTCACACCATTAGTCTCCGTTTCAAGAAGTCAATTTCTCTGAAAACATAATTGAACGCAGTATCTCACTCACACATAATGTCTTTTTAGTTTTTCTCCAGTCTTTGTAAAAAATTGTCGGAGGGGACTTTGAATAACGACGGCTCGGTTTTGCACTTAATAAAACCTACGTGAATGTTTTTCCCCTCTCAGATCAGCCACCTCCAGAAGGTGCTAGAGGCAGTTGTGGCTGTGCCTGCTCTGTGGGAGGTAATCTCAGACTTTATCGCTTTTATTTTAAGAAGGGCAAATAATGTTGGTATTTCCTGTTACTTCAGACATGTCACTTTGAAAGTAAAGTATAATTTGGTCCCAAACTGTGTCTGAGAAATGGCGTCAGATTCAAAATATCAGAAGAAAAACAGTTGAAATGCAACCTGCATTAAATTGCGACAGTCGAGATGTAGACAGGAAATGTGCAGTTGAATGGTTAGTGACTTAGCCACAGACATCCCAGATGTGGAAAAATTAAAAAACGCCTCCAACCATCACTGCTACAATATGACAAGTGACAATAGAGAAAAAGTTGCAAAGGTCATTTTATTTACTTTATTTTCTTCCCAGATTTCCAGTTTCTCCAGGACCTGGATGAGTATGATACTGGCACCTTTTGTTTCAGGTACTCCGTTTATAACAGTGAATTCACTTCCATTGTCTTGAGGCTGACTGACCAGTTTTGGTAGAATAATTGATGTGGATCGGCTAGAAGGTTGTTCATTAACATTGTTCATTTTGATATACACATTTGCACTGTTCATTGTTGAGTATGCATCCTGAATGCTCCTTACGGTCTGATCTGCGTCCTTCTTCACAGCCTCTGTTCCTCTGAGTCCTGATCAACAGGCAACACTCTACAGGACTTTTGTTCTCCTCCTCAAGTATGTTGATCTCGTATTCAGCCATTTACCAACCAACTGTTCTGCTTTCATGGACTGCTAGTGTTAGAATGTGAACATGCAACACATGCATTGCTAGATTTAACTGCATGGGTGTTAAAGCTTTGAAAACCATATCATTCTGTGACACTTCCGTCTTTTCCATGCGCACAGGTTTGATTAACTGAATGTTGGAAATTGTTTACAAAAAAAAAGCAGTGATGACCTGAATAATGTGTCCTATTCTCTTGTTTATATCTCCCCAAGGTGCCCTTTCCTGTTGAATCTGGACCTGATAGGAATTGCCAATCGCTTTGCACAGTTCAACCTGCCAGCCTTTGCCCTGGGAACACTCCTTCTCATCCCCTGTGCCAATAAAAAGGCTCAGCAGATCCAGGTTAGTACCTCCGTGTCAATACATGTCAGAAGGAATCGTTTTGGAAGAACTGTATCTTTCAGGCCTTTATCACAATCACAGTGTCGTAACATTACTGTGTTTTTTGTTTCTGTTTCTAGTGCTTTCTGTCTGTGTGTAACCCGGTCGCTGTCCTTGAGCAGGTGGAGGAGCTCATGAACACTGGGGAACTAGCTGGAGTTCCCTCACAGGTTAGATGTTAGATTAGGTTATACCACTTCCAAGAGACGCAACATGTCAGTTGCTTTCATCTTTAACTCTTCAAACTGACAATTCAATTGCTTTCACTCTTATACTTAAACTGACACTTCAGCCTAATTCAATTGTTACACTTAAACTGAAACATGAAGCTCTTTCAGTGCTTTTATTTTAACAGCTATTTCAACTGCAACTATCTCAGTTTTTCAGCTATTTCAAATGTTTTAACGCACACTGGACTTATACACCTACGTACATATTCTTTTGAAAATGTAATATTTTCTAGTTCCTATATAACTTTCACAACTGTTCACAACACATCCTGGAACTAAATATACGTATAGTGTACACACACTATCAGCCATAGCATCAGTAAACTTGTGAAACAGGAAACTAGTTAGGATGATGTGAAATTATGCAAATATGTTAAAAGTGTTGTCTTGTTTTGAAATATAACAAATATGTAGACAAAAGTGATGTCTGGTGCATTGAAATATATTTTCTTTTGTGCAACTTTTTTTGACATTACTTTTTGTTTCAACTATATTGACCTGTATTATATTAAGACATGTCATTATTGCCTCTATGATTCCTCAGATCAGGGAGACTGTATTAACCTTCATCAGCCAAAATGGACAGCACCAGAAACTGCTGAAGACCAAACACTTCAAGCATCTGAAGCAGCTCATTGTGTCGAGTGGCCGACCTAATCAGGTGAAAGAGTTGGTGGACTACCTGATCAGTCAGAACTGGTGAGTTTTTGTTTTTGTGAGGGAATCAACATAAGCGTCGATATAAAGAACAGGTTCCTGTATGTTACGTGCAAACAGCATATCTAGAATATGATCAAGACAGGATAAGACTAATAAACGAGCTGCTGTTGTCAATAACCATAAATACAGCAAAAACAACATCATGTTTAATGTTATGAAACCTTTTATGTTCATCATTTTTACTGCCAGTGTATTCATCCATTGAAAGGGAGAAGTGATGCTTTTGATTTGTCTGACATTTAGCTGTGAGATGCACAGCTTCCTCCAGCGCCACATCGCTGTAGTCTACATTACATTTAATGACGTATGTGGCGTCGTGTACACGCTCTGGAACTTGGACCATGTGGGCTCAGCTCATTGTTTGTCAGCTTTATATCAGACGTATCCCGTGAAGGCACAGTCTGAGTGTGTTGAGTTGACAAATTGCTCCTTCAGCTTTGTGTAATAGCCGACCGACCACCTGGTGTCTCAAGACTTTTCACCGATAAAGACCAAAAACAAAAGCCCACCATATGCGTTTGACCTTTTCAAATGTAAGAGTTGAGTTCTTCTCGTCATATTCTTTTCATCTGCTCTTCAGTCAGGACGATGCCGACTCACTCGCTCGTGAGTACATGAAACACACAGAGAGCATCAAAGAGGGAAAACGCTGACAAACGGCTCACCTTCACCGAGCGGCCTGAAGGTAACTGAAGTTGATCTCCTGGACCCAGTTTAGTCTGGGATACTGGGGAGACTTATCGTCTTTTAATTAGTTGTATTCATCATATTATTGTAGCTTTTGTATTTCCCCATAAGTAATTCTACTTTAATTAGTTTTTTCAGGAGTTTCTCAACATGCAAAATGGAGTGTCAGGATGAACAGACATTTCTGCAGCTGTATTTATATATTCTTACTTTGTCTCTCTTGGGCTGAGATGCAATATTTGCACTTCTATCTATATTTCCACTGTGCATGTAATATTTGTAATAAATGCTTTTCATTATTGATTGTGTAGTGGAATGAATTCAAAGGCAGTTAATCTGATTTTATTTTAATATCTACTGGCTTGTTTAAGTGCATATTCATGTTAGAACTGCTGGCTAACATGCGGTAGAAGTAACATTTATATGACAACAATTTGCAGCTGAAAATAAATCACAATCATTTTCAGAGTCTAAGAATAAATGAATTCCCGTCTGAGAGATGAAATGTCAAACTTGTACTATTTATAAAAAAATAAAAGTTAGATTGCTGTTGCATACACACAAATTAATTGAAGTACGTAAATCTGCTGTAGGCTGTGTTCCTTTATATATTAAACCTTCATTTTTATTAATTTAGCTTCACTCTATTTTTTTTGTTTTAATGTGTTCCTTTTACCTTTTGTGAAACATATCCTGCCTGAGTAAAATGTTTTAACTCGACTCTCGAGTCTATAATTGGTAATACATATTTGAGGGGTACTTTTTTGAGATCCTTACCATTCTTAATATAAGACTTCCCCTTTTTAGTTTTGCAAGTTACCCACTTATATATGTTATAGCTATTTCGGTGAGGAAGCAATTCTCAAACCGGAATCAGGCAACGACACTGACAAACCTTCACGGATCAGGACCTCTTGACTCCTGCCCATGTGGGAGTATTATCCCAAAGAATTTAAGGAAATACAGCTCTGCATTTTGTCACAGTGGATAAAACTCCCACTTAGTCAAGGTTCAGCTTGTACTTGGTAAACGTTGATAGGTGAGTGCACACAGATACCAAAGGGTTCAGGGAGTTGATGTGGTAGTTAGTGGGTGAATCGCATGCACTGTTGTTTTGAGAGGATGCTTCCGGTTTTAAATGAAAATTGTTTGGTTGAAATGACATAATTAACAAATCAAAGTCTAAAATAATGTTTTATCTGTTTGCTTTCAAATTAGAAATTGGTTATACTGTGAATGTATTGTGAGTGCATTTTTGGTTTGCATTGTAAGGCCTGAGGTTTATTAGTGAAAAAGTATTCATTACCTGGCAAGGTGGCTTCTATAAATGTAAAGAGTCACGTTCTCAAAAACTAGTTGGATGTCCGCATAGTTTTTGGGGAGCCATCTAAACATAGAGGAGGTGTTTATTGTTTCTATGCCGTGTATCCACCACATGAACCACATCATCTATATTGAGATCTTTTAACTGTATCAAATGCCATCGGATACCACAAGTCAGCACCTGCTGAAGTTATACTCGTGAACAAAACACAGTTGCGTGTGCATGTGAATCAAGTTGGTAAGAATTTCTTATTTTTCACCTTGTACTGAAGAATTTGCTTTTTGTATTAATAACCAAGTGGATGTCCTCTATCTAGGGAATAAACAAACTAAGGCCACAAACAAACACAAATCTAAATTTCAGAAAATAAATTCTCAACATCTCATGTTTACTAGACCAGACTACGGCATATTTGCTTGTGTTATAATGCATTACAGTGTCAAAGCAATCCTGTCAAGCAGGATTTTATTTAAAAGGACCTCTATATATATCACTTTGTATGACTTTGTATCATAATGATCATATATTGCCTGGTATGAGAACGCTGTGAGACATGAGATAATTTTATCATCGCAGGTGATATGTGTGTTTCCATAATTATGATGCAGTTTTCTCATAGGCTTAAAAGATGATATTTTATTCATAAGCTGATATTAGTACAACAATGTCGTGTTAATAAAGTTCATTAAATTAACCAAACAACAAAACTGAATTCATTGTGAGTTTAGACAATTGTCTAGAAGTTGGACAAAATATTAAGTACATCAATTATTTCAAAGCTTTACAGTAGCATACATTTTACAAAAGAAATATTCAGAAATGTGCAGTCAATATATAGCAAAGAAAAAATAACAACTTTACAATGTTGCTATGGCATATGTTTTCCAAAGGCAATACATTTTTCACATTCAATATGTACTACTGTATATGAAAAGTACAAAAATATCATCTTGTTGGCTCTAGCACTTACATGGCAAATTTGAAAGCGATATGTCACTTTCACTAAAAACATTTAACTACGGAGCTGCATCCATCTTAATGGTTTCCTTGATGGGATATATAGAGAACTTTTGTGTGATCACAAAAGTGTGATCAGAGCTGGCTGAGCGACTGGGAGCCTGTTTCTCGAGTTTTGTTCTCTGTACTTTCACCAGTGTCTGTCTGGGATAGATGAAATACTTTCCTGCAGATGTTCTTGAAGATGGGGCTGGAGAAGTAGTAAACGACAGGATCCAACACGCTGTTGAGATAGGTCAGGCTAATGGTGATGTAAAACACAATGGTCAGGTCTTCCAGAGCAGAGCAGACTTCAGAATCGGGGAGTTTGCTGGCTAATTGTTTGGTCTGGATCCAAATCAGCAGCTGTGCGATGTTGCTTGGGAGGTAGCAAATGGTGAAGAGTACCGCAACCACGATGATGAACCAAAGAGCCTTCCTAATCTTTGCCTGCTGGGACAACTGCCTCCTTCTCAGGTGGCCAATAATGGTGAATGTGCAGTAGAGAACCACAAGCAGAGGCACATAGAACACAAGGAGAAACTCAAACTTGTGCCAGTTCAGATTATGGTGCATTTCAGTATCAACCATAAAGCTCTCACAGCGGGTTGTGTTGAAGTGTTGCAGATGGAAGACATGAACTGTCAATGAGATGGTGAGCAACCACATTGCAAGTGCTCCCCACATGGCTTTGGTGATACTCAAAGAGTTGATGGGATGATGGGGATGCACCACACGCATGTACCTGTCCACAGCGATAGCCATCAAGAAGAGGGTACTTCCACTGCGGTTCAGTGCCAACATGAAGAGGCAGATGTTGCACATCGCGTGTCCAAACTTCCACTTGATGTTCGAGATGTAGTACATGGCACGGAAAGGCAAAGCCATGTTGAGGAAAAAATCTGCCATTGCCAGGTTGAAGAGTAACACCGTGCTGCTCTTCCATGGCCTCATGTGGAAGCAGAAGACCCAGAGAGCCAAACCATTTCCCAGAACTCCAAACACAAACTCTGTCCCCAGCACTGGCGGCAGCACCGTGGAAAGCAGGGTTCCATTGAAATAGCACCGCATGTTGAATAGGTGTTGCTCACTGGCTGCAGATCAGAGAAATAACCCCTTGACAACTGTCTGCAGTCTTTAAAGGGAACTTCTAAATAGAAAAAAAGTGTTTGTGGTTTTTGCATTGACAGGAAGTCTGATGCCGACGGTTCTGCTTTTCATAAACTGTTAATACACAAAAGTTCTCTATATTTCCCCAAAGATGATATATTTCTCCAGAAAGCTACAAAGGGGTTGACTAATTACTGCTGAGGAAACGGAAAGTAAGGAATAGTATCACTTCACAATACCCTTGCATGTGGAAAGTCTTGCATAAAAATCACGAATGAGTTATTTATTTCATTGCATCAATGTTCAATTAAAATCAATCCACTTGAATAAAGTCTGTAATCCTCCATGTGCAGGATCCTTCCCTGGAAGTTAACAACAAAGCAAAAACATGCATTTTACTTTTTACAAAAGTCAGTATTTAAAGAAGGGTGTTGGTAAGATAACCAACCCAACAGCTTTACATTGCATGCGAAATGTGAGAAATTGCAGTAACTATGACAAGTCATACGAGGACTGGTGTTACTACCACTTTTAGGACTGCTGACAAAAGAAATTGTGGCCGGATGATATAAAAACCTCAGCTCGTTACTTGCCAAGAGTTACAACTGTGAAAAACCAGGCATCACTCCTCATCGCAACCTACAGTGAAGTCAGTGGCAAAAAGAAAAAGACAGAGACTGCTCAGGATTGAGAGGACAATGAATCAAGCCAACAGGTGCTGGACAAAAACTTGACCTAAAGTGAACGTGACTTCAGAATGGGATGAAGGTCAAAGCCCATCAAAACACAAGTGTTTGTGGGACAAGTCCATTAATGTCACTGACAAACTGTCAATGTCCAAACTTACACCTGAGGGTACCAGTTCACTGATGGGCTCTGTCCAGCCTACAAAGCACTGAATAAAGGGTCTGAACATATCAATTCAATGTCTCAGTCTCTGTTTATTGCTTTGATGGTGTTTGTTATCAACAAGATTCAAGTCTATAATGAAACCAGATTTGTTTTGTTTTTAAGTGAAGGAATCTGGAAAGTCTGACATCATTTGTACAGATAGGTGAACAGCCAATTCAAATATTTGAATTGAATTAACAGGCAAATGAAAGTACAATAAATTCACATTCAGCACAAATGAGTCTTTCAGACAGCAACATATGTGCAGCAGCCATGTGAAGTAAACCGAAATGGTAATGCTTTTGTGTTTGTTTGAGTTTAATGAATATTTTACTGAATAATGCTTTTCACAGCCTTCCAAAGAGGAAGATAAGTGGGTTTGTGTGACTTCCTGTGGGTGGATCAGCTTTCAATGTGCAATGAGAACGTATTATACAGAAGTTAAAGAAGCCAACTTAATTTTGGCAAATCCGAGAATTCTATTTAAGATAATGGACTCAGTGGTCACCCCCTCCCATGTCATTTTACTGAGGCCACACAAAAGATGTGTGGGCAGTTTTTAAACTTTTTTAAAAATAGAGTCAAGGACAAATTATCCCCCCCTTCCCCAGACCGTGTTTTACATGTCAGTAGGGATAGTCCTAGTTATTTTAGCAATTTTAAACCTGCTTCCCTTTCCTTTTTAGCTGAAATCATATCCCCTATGAAATCAACCTGATTTTATACAAACTAAATGTCTTGAAGAGGTTATTGATACAGTTGGTCCCAGTATTTTATTGATTATTAATAGCTCACGCGACTCTTAAACATGCTGTGGGCCAACCTCTTATAAAGAAACATAATCTTGATCCCTCTGTTCTTAGCAATTTTAGATCCATTTTTAAACTTCAGTTTTTATCAAAAGTTTTAGAAAAAGTGGTTTCAACCCAGCTTTGGGCTTTTATGTGTCTTAATAACGTCTTTGAGAGGTTTCAGTCAGGTTTTAGAGCTTTACAGCACAGAAACCGCCCTCTTCAAGGTATCCAATGATCTCCTTTAAGCAGCCGGCAGATGGGAGAGCTCCATTTGAATTCTTTTAGACCTAAGTGCAGCCTTTGACACAGAGTAGACCATGACCTTTTAATCAACCGTCTTAAAACCTGGGTTGGCATCAAGGATGCTGCACTTAGTTGGTTTTATTCTTACCTTTCAGATAGAACCCACTCGGTCACCATAGGTAACTACGCATCCTCTACATCTCACATTACCTGTGTGTACCGCAAGGTTCAATTTTAGGTCCAATTTTATTTTCCATATACATGCTCCCACTTGGTGAAATCATTCAACGTCATAATGTCTCTTTTCATTGCTAACGCAGACGACACACAGATATACCTTCCCTTGAGACCTGATGACCCCAGAAGCCTAGCTGCTATTTTAGACTGTCTTAATGATATCAACTGTTGGAAGGTACAAAACTTTCTTCAACTCAACAGCTCAAAATCAGAAATCATAATATTTAGTCCCCCAAACATTATCACTCCCATTGAAAGTGCCCTTGGCCCCCTGTCTGTTAACATAAAGTCCAACTTAGGAGAAGTTTTTGATTCAGATTTAAGCTTCAAACCACAAGTCACAAAAGTTGTCCAGTCCTGTTTTCTTCAAACTACAAGAATCTCCAAAATCAAACCAATTCTCTCACCCTGACCTGGAAAAAGTCATTCATGCATTCATCTTATCAAGACTCGATTACTGTAACTCCCTGCTCTCTGGCATCAACCAAAGGTCACTCTCTCGCCTCCAACTAGTTCAGAACGCAGCAGCTCGGCTTCTCACTGGTTTTAACAGACGACATCACATCACCCCAATCCTGGCTTCTCTCCACTGGCTCCCTGTTCGTTTTAGAATTGATTTTAAGAATTTACTGTTCACTTTTAAAGCACCAAAGTCGAGGCTGAAAACTAAAGGCGACCGTGCTTTTGCCATCAGGGCCCCTCGGCTTTGGAACAACCTGCAGATAACAACCTGTAGATAAAGCTCGTAGAATCAGTAATCTCTTTTAAATCACTTCTTAAAACACATTTTTACAGACTGGCTTTTATGTGATTTACTGTTTTATTTTTATTTGTTAATTTTACTAAATTATTTTACTAAATTATTTAATTTGCTGGGTGAAGTAAATGAGCAGCATGGTGTAAGACTGGTGTGATTTGTATTTAAAGTACTGAATGTATCAATTTAACTGTTGTGGATGTTCATGTAAATCATGAGAATTCATCTTTTAACATTGTTAATAAATACATAATCAGAAAAAAGAAGAGTAGTTTTAACATGATATTTGAATCTAATACTGTATTTGGAGAATGCTTTAGAAATAATAATAATAAAGGAGGCTCTGAAAACAACAGCAGTGTATTCTTTTCTGTGGTAAATGTAATGCTTTATGTAGATTTTTTTAGTTATCAACAGTGTCAATTAGTCATGTTGAATGAATTGGTTCTTTCATGAACATTAATTAATAATTAGAGCCAACAGAAGGCTGAAATGGGTTATGGGGAGCTCAGTTTGTAAACCTCTACTGCTGTCTAGTGGATAACATTTGAAAATGCTGCCTTTGCCATATGTTTAGGAGAGGAGAAGCCTGTTTCCTCAACTGTGGGAGAAAACTTTTTTTCTGTGCTTTTGGATTGCTATCCATAAACCCACGCAAGTGCTGAACTATTCTCACATGACTTCGCTATCAGTCGCTATCCTGTCACATGCCAGGGCTCCCACTCAGTAATTTATCAATGGATGTGAGTTGGGCCTTGCCAGTTCATAAAAATGTGAAAGAACCAGTTTAGCCTGCAGGGCAAACACTTCCTTTTGTTCCCTTCTCTGTCCCATCACCTGCATACTTGGGAACAAAACATCATGGTCACAACTCCACCCGGTGCAACAAACGGCAAATTCCAGTCCCACAACATTGAAGAGATCTGAAATGTCAGCGCCTATAATGTACAAAAGAAACAACTGAAGTGTTAGTTTTCTTATTCCAGTGTCAAACAACAGCACATGAGATGCATGTTGTCCAATTTTTGAATGTATGACCATTTGCTTTGTATCTTTTATTCTTTGAATGGATTTCTTTCTGAATGTTTGGGCTGAAGCTGTGAAATGATAAAAGATGAAGGAAACAGACAAACAAAACAAGTTATTCCATATACCTCAGGTCATGTCAGGTAAGTCGAGTAAAGATGGACAAAGCAAGAGGCACCTTGTTGGTTCCATTAAAGAAGGATACAAGGGAGTGTGAGAGGAACATATATTGTCATTTGTTGATGTCCTTTATTAAAGCCAATCAACAGAGGACACCAGAAGCAGATGAATTAGAACGACCGATCTATTGTTGACATTTTAAAGTTGTGAGCCTAATAAAACAGCTGCACCTCAATGTGAGGTAAATTTCCCTGAATGAATTTATTATAAATGAGTTCAGGACATTTGGGTATGTAGTCACTAAAGGGGGGGGATCATAGATTTATAAGACTCGTTCAAAATCTACTTCCATCAGCTTTCTTACTCATGTTTCTGTCACTGATTTATCCTGAAAGACTAAAGACATTTTGAACAGTGTTCATTTTATTTTAGAGGACTTATCACCATTGTTTGCATTCTTTTCCTATCCATCTTGGGGGCACAAATACCTGCAACCATATGAGCTGCTGTGCTAAATACAGTCCCAAAACATTCATCTAAACTATTATTGACTTTGCTTTAATGACATAACATTATTTGTAGATATGGTGAATAGTACGATGCTTATGGCCTGGCGCATGTTTCCACGTGTCGCAGCAGTCTAATCTGAGCATCATTTCCTGGTTTATTATTTCACAACTACTTGACTGTTATTGTAAAAGCAGATGCAATCTCGGGATTATAAAAAACAATTATAATCCTCATGTGTTTCGATTTCATTGAGGTGACGTCACTGCATGCAGCTGAGAGAGACGGACAGCTGCGCGTGCCTCGTCAAAATAATAATAATCGCGAAATACAAAGCACAATATAACAAGGAAAATGCTGATTCAAAACGCTTATCTGCGATGTCGGCGACAGAAGACATGATGATGATGATGATGATTTCCTTTACCAAGGGGGAGGATCTATCTACGTAACGCACTCATTGCTCTTCCTCCTTCAGCCGCGATGCAGCACCAGCAATGAAGCCGCAGCCTGGAGATGTCCCACAGAGACTATGGGGTCTAGATAGAAGAACGCACCGCTGATATTTCCGCGAGCCTGGACGTTTTTTTTTGTGTCTTAATTTATTTTGTTTCCTTGCTAAAACCGTCATTGTAAAAACCAGAGGATGAACAGCATTAGGCATGGGAAATCCAGACGAACTGAGACCAATCTCGGAGCGGAGAGGGATCATTTTGACAAGCAGCAGGTATGAAATACAGGCTGAGACAGCCCGACTCGTTAATGCTCACTTGCGCTTTATAAAATACCGCTGTGGTTTCACTTGGCGACTGTGTGTGTGTGTGTGTGTGAGTGTGTGTGTGAGTGTGTGAGTGAGTGCTCACAGTGAAGGCTACCGCATAGGCCACATTTCCAATTAACACCTTACTTGAGAATTGAATGTTTGAAATGTGAATTAAAGGGGCAGTTTACCCCAAAAGGCGAAATACATATTTGTTCCTCTTACCTGTAGTGCCATTTATTAATGTAGATTGTTTTTGAGTGAGTTGCCGAGTGTTGGAGACGTCTGCCTTTTCTCCAATAATGATGTGGCACTCGGCTCGTGGTGCTTAAAGCGCCAAAAAAATACATTTGAAATGTATGAGTTTGAGAAACTCAACACCAATGTCTCTGTCCAGAAATCCTGACCTGGGTTCTTGAATAATCCACAGACCTTGCTTTGTACAATTTCATGTTTTGTACCATCTAGATTAATAAATAGCACTATATAGGTAAGAGGGAAAATGTGTATTTTGTCATTTGTGGTGAACTTTTCCTTTAAATGTCTTGAAGGCATCCGTCTACTTGACAAAAAGTAAACTTAGGACTGAAAGCCATATAGTGCTCTGTGTTGTCACAGCATTCAGTCCTCCCTGAAGTCTGTAAAGTGGCATCATGCTGATCTAGTCCTTCCTGTTTGACCACCCTTCCTCCCATACAGACATTTGTTTCTCTGTCTTTAACAGCCTTGTTGTTGGATATAGCACTTAAATAGCACTTTAACTTTGAGTTATATTACCGTTGTGGAGTACTTCAGTAAATCTGATTCAGTTTCCTTTCTGTGTGTGCACTGGCGGAATGAGGTTTGTCACATTTTTCATGCAACGACAGGTGCTTTGTGGTTTCTGGCAGTTACCTCACTGCAGTCCTCTGCCAAGTAAACTCATTTAAGCTCTTTACCATCGAGATACTTTACAGATAGTATTGTTGACTAAGCACTTTAATCAGCCAAAGTCATGGAGCCCCCCCCCCC